AAAACACAGACTTTGTGGTTAGACCCAGCTTATGTCCTTGTTCTGTTCTACTAGCTGTGTGACCTTGGGGAAAACTTTTAACCTCTCTGAGCCTCAGTCTTACCATTTGTAATAAGAGTGCCTACCAATGTCATCCATTTATACAATATTTGAGTGCCTACTGTGCGCCAGGCACTGTGCTAGACTCTAGGGATTTCACAGCAAAGACAGACAAGATCTCAATCCTTGTGGCTCTTGCAGTCTAGTAGAGGGAGTTATAATAATCAAGTAAACAAATACTTAAGATTGTTACAGATGTGTAAATGATATGAAGGAGATGTGCAGGGTGATGTAATAGAGTCAGCTACTTAAGTAATATTGAGGCAAGACCTGAAGTTGGAGAATGAGCAAACCATGGGTACAGCTGTTAATGGCATCAGGCAGAGGGAACATTGAGCACAAAGGTCTGGAGATGGGGAAAATGTTGCTGTGTTTTAGGAACAGAGAGTAGTATAGTACCCAAGAGGGAAAGTGGTACGAGATGAGGTCAGAGAGGTAGGTAGAGACCAGATCATAAGGGCCTAATGGGTCATGATAAGGAATTTTAGATTTTGTTCTAATCAGAGTGAGAAGCCAAATGGTTAAGACTTGTACAGAATTCATGTTTTTAAAAGGTCAGTCTTGTTACTACAAGGTGAAGGGATTATAGGAAACAAGGCTGAAAGTAGGGAGGCCAGGGTTGTTGTAAGGATTACCAATTACAAATGTTAATAATGAACATGATCCCTGACACATATAATGTTAGTTAGCTCTTGTTCTGGAAAGTCTAAGCCTGTCCTGTCTAATACAGCAGACACTAGCTTCATTTGGCTATTGAGCATTTAAAATGTGACTAATGCAACCATGGACTTAAACTTCTCATTTTACCTAATTTTAATTAATTTAAACTTAAATTTAAAAACTAAAATTTGATTCAGTCACTGGGAAGTATATTTGAAAAAACTTGAATATGTGAGTTGACTTATTTATCCATAAATTTTATGAAATCTGAGTACAGAATCAAGTATTTTCAATAAAAATTTAATGTCCAAATTGAGACGTGCTGCAACAGTAAAATACATACATGATCCCAACGACTTAGTACGAAAAAGAGAATGTAAAATAATTCTCTTAATAATTTTTATATTGATTACATGTTCAAATGATAATATTTTGGACATACTGGGTAAGGTAAAACATTATTTGAATTAATTTCACTTCTGTTACTGTTTTTAATGCTATTACTAGAAAATTTAGAATTACATATGTCACTCACATTGTATTGCTATCAGATATGCTGATCTGAGGCAAAACAGAAATCTAGAAATTTAAATGCCCAGAATGTTAATGATTATATCTCCCATCAGAAATTTCAATTTAAAGATGGGAACTGGGAAAAAATAAAAAGCAATAGCATCTTTTGGAAACACTGTAGGGATAGAGGATTTACATCTTAGTTCTGTATTTTACATACATCTCATCCTCAAGGAATTCTTTTGGCATCCCTGACTATTCCTGGATATTGGACCCTGCTATGGCAAGTTCAGGTACCCCAACTCTGGGGGAAGGTGAAGGATGGAGCCCGGGACTTAGAGGATCCCAGAGTATAAAGCTTTCTCCCCAAAGCCAGGCTTAGTAAGCCTTATGGTATTAATATATCTACTTTGGGCACAAAATAGACTGAGTCAGTCGGGCATAGATTTAAATCTCTAGCTCCAAGGAGTGCAGATGTACAGAGCTTCCTGAAAGTTTAGCACAGTGTGTACATAATAAGTCAGGGGCCGGGGGGTGGGTAGGGATGATTTCTGTCTCTGCCTGCAGATTCTCCACGAAGCAATTTATTTTAAGTTAAAGTTATGTGCCAGGGTCTGTACTAAGTGCTTTAGGTTTGTTACCTCATTAAGCCTCATGAAACCTTATAAGGTAGATATCAGGGTTCAGTGACTTGTCCAAGATCAGATCACACAGCTGTTAAGAGGCAGAGTGGAGATGCAAACTCAGGCATTCTGACTCCAGAACCGACGCTCTTAACCACCACCCTAGACAGCAATCCCGTTGTCATGCCAGGCACCCAAAGGACCACCCTTGAGTGTAAGACTCCTTCTCTTGTATCCTCCGTCACTTCCAGCTACGGCTGAGACTTGCTCACTTCTCCTTAGTCCCTGCCCTGCTCCCAGCACAGAGCTGGCCACAGACTAAGTGGGCAATTGTTTACTGATTGAGGGATAGGCTTTTGCCACTAAGAAACCAGCCAGCTGTTCCTCCAAAAAGAAAAACAAAGAGAAACTGCTACCTTTGAGGCTCTCCTGATTTATCGCTGTACCCACCACACAGCCTAGTATGATGCCTAGCAGTCATTCATTATTCATTCATTCATGTTCATTTTCTGCTCTTTCAACAAACTTAGGAACTCAGTCCCCTGTCTGGGGGATGTGAATGAAAGCTTCACAAATATTATCACTATTAATAATATTATTGATTATCATTAGTAACACAAGTAATAATTAATCAAATTATTATTACTATTAGTAATTGATCATAACAGTGATAATACTGTGAGACCTTCATTAATAATAATAATTATGATAAACACTTATTGAGTACTTACTGTGCTAAGTGCTGTTGATATTAAAGTATTTTTTTGTATCTTGAGTACTTCAATTTCTGTGTTTTAGATAAGACATGACACCATTTAATTCTTACAACAATCCTGTAAGGTAACTCCAGAAGTCTCAAAATCTCTTTACTCAGCTCATCAGAGCACTGAGCGTTGGGTAGTGTTTTGGCCATAAATTCCTGAAAGAGGGTCATTCACCCATGTGCTAACAGAATGTTCACTGACCGCTTTCAACTGTAAACAAGACAGACATGGTCTCTGCCCTGCAAAAATAACAACAGAACTGCCTCTAGATGAAAAACATTTGTTTTCCTTTTTCAAAGTTGTTGTAAGCACTTTGAGACAGTCTCCATGGTTCCAGGAACGGATTGGTGGGCTTCCATCTGTACAGCTTTGTTGCTCGCTTCATGCTCTATACTTCAGCAACATCCACCTACTTATAATTCCCCAAAATGCTCCTGACATTGTCATGATGCCCTTTGGTCTCTCCTGGTTTTTCCTCTTGATGAACTATTCTTCTTTCAACAGCCTAACTCAAATATCTTATTAGTGAAGACCTACCAAACTGGACTAATTGGACGTTGGTTCTTCTTGGTGTAGAAAGAAAAGAGTGGATTGCATCTTCATTCAGGCTCAGTAGTGCCTTTATCCTCCCTCTCCTCTCTCCCCCACTAGTCTGAGAGCTCCTGGGGATGGAGGAGGCCAGGGACTGTGTCTTATTAGGTTTCCTGTACCCAGCTACTGTCACAAGGCATGTCACATATTATTATTGTCTCTAACATTCATAAAACGCTATGTGCCAAACCCTGTGTTCCTTGTCTTCTAGATATCATTCCTTTCTCCCAACGATCTTAAGACGGAGATGTCTTTGTTACCCATCCCAGTTTTTACTTAGGAGGTAAATTTATATATCAGAGCTTAGAAGCATTAGGTAATTTGCCCCCAAGTCACACAGCTAGTCAAGTGGTAGAGCCAGAATCAGAATTCAGATAATCAAATAATCCACCTAAAACATTTTTCACGGCACGTAGCACCTAATAAGCACATAATCAATAAGTGTTAGCTACTAGAATTGTCGTCCAAAGTTGGACAGCTAGTGAAATAAAAAGGTTCACTTTGTAACTCAAGTTCATTTTATTTATTTATTTACTTATTTATTTTGCTTCAAAATTCACACCCTTTCTATTACACTAGAATTTAATTAACAGGACTTGTTAAAGGTCATAAGAGGCCTAACTACTTACATTTTTTAAGTTCCTGCTGTATTTTAAAAATTAATAAATATTAGAAGATTCCAAAAATTCTGATATATTTTTAATATTTACTTTTAGTATATTAAAGCTTTTGACCTCCACAAAAATACCACTGTATGCATAACCGCATTGAGACATAAATTCAAAAAACAAGTTTGATATCCTTCTTGAAAAAGTCCCTCTTAGCTATCTCTGCAATAGTTTCCGTAAATTACAGAAAATTAACTAATGCTCTGCTGTCGTTGCTGGTTACCTATCCGGCTACCTTAAGAGATAGCTCAATTCTGTATTCCCAGTGCAATGTCAGGGGTCTGATAAACATTCAATAAACATTTCTGGAATTAATATATAGGGCTATAGTTCGCTTTTCATTCCAAGACCCCTTAACACTCTTAAATATTATTGAGGACCACAAAAAGCTTTTGTTTATGTGGGTTATACCTGTCAATATGTACTGTATTAGAAATTAGAACTGAAAAAATTTTTATATTTATTTATTAATTCCTTTAAGATGACAATACACCCATTATATGCTAACATAAATAATCTTTTTATAAATAACTATATTTTCCAAAACAAAAAATATATATAGTAAGAAGAGTGGCATTGTTCTACATTTTTGCAAATCTCTGGCTTAATAGAAGACAGTTGGATTCTTATAGCTCCTTCTGCATTCAATCCATTGCGCTATCACATGATACATAGCCTCTGGAAAACTCCACTGTACATTCATGATAGAAGGAGTACGGAAAAGGCAAATAGCAACTTAGTATTATGAAAATGATCTTGATCTAGTGCTAGACTCCTTGAAAGGCACAATTTGAGAACCATTTTTGGACAAGGTTTATGCTTCGGGATTCCTCTATACGTTGGTAGCATGAGAGAGGTCAGAGTGAAGGAGTAGAAAGAACACCATAGAAACAGCCTTTCATTTTCCGTTTCTCTCCTGTGCTGAGTAACGCGTTCTCGCCGTAACCCAACATGGCAACCGTCACTCATATTTCATGCCGTACAATGACGTCACACAGCGACAGCGATGACTGTCCCCGAGGTTTCCACTACATTTCCCAGGATGCTTTGTCAACAGCGACGCCATAGGTCGGCGCTGACGGAAGTGCACTTGACCGAGCGGAAGTAGAGGGTATCAGAGGTTAGGAAGGTGAGGACAAGAGGAATGGTGAAGCTGTGAGTAGCCGCCTGGGTTTGTCCCCTTGGCTGTGAGGGACGTGGCTAGAGGACGAACTGTTGGGAAGCGCGGGGTGGCCCCTCGTTAACCCTGGGGCCGCAAACTCCTGCGTACTTCAAATAGACCTGAGCGCGGGGAGAAACAAAACATAGCTGTGGAAGCGGTATCTCCGTGTTAAGATCTTGCTGTTTTAAGTTTTCTTGGGACGAGCTGGGGCGAATTCGGGCTCTTGTCGCGACACAAGGGTCGTTGGCGTGATTTTGCTGCGACCAGAGGGGCGGGCTGCTGACGGTCTGACTCAGCTTCTACAGCAGTGGTACTCAATTGGCTAGGTAGAATCACCTAGGATGCCTTTTTAAAAATACAGATGCCCTGGCCCGACGCCAGGCCAGTAAATCAGAATCTGTGGAGGATAAGATCTGGGCAGCAGTACTTGCTAAAGCGCCCCAAGTGTTGTGTTGTGCAGCCAGGGTTGAGAACCACTCTTTTAGTGCCTGATTCTGACCCCCACGCGGCTCCTGATTAGGACCAACTGCGTCAGGGCTCGCCTTCCACTGTAACCTACGTGGGCTCTACCACACGCGTTTGGGTGAAGTTGGGGATCGCTATTTTGGCACGGCTTGCATTTTCAGCTCCACCAGAAACTCTTTCTTGAGCTTCGTGTGGTGGTGCTGGAAACACAGGCCATAGTTTCTTATTTACAATCTGGCTATTCATTCTGAATAAAGATTAAAGTTGCTTCATTTTTCTTGCATTGTTTTAGCTTATGCCTATTTTTTTCCTGCCCCGACAAAATGCGGGCAGTGGAAAGTGGAAGAGTCACATTAAAATCGGTCTCTTTTGCTGCTTATAAGAAGCTCTGAAAGGGGTATTATTAGTTAAATGCCGCTGGCATTATTTATGGGCTTATGATAACTTATTTTATTTTAATAATGAATTCTGATGAAAAGAGATTAGAGTGTGTTTTGGGCTTTGATGCAGCAGTTTGTTTAGGTGTGATAGGTAGAATTTTCTTTATATGTAAGCACCATTACCTAACATGTTTTCTCTTTTCCCAGAGTTTCAGCTTCACGTCCCTCACTGATTCGGCATGGGGGACAAGTCAGAACACTGTAGGATTCCAGAGGATCTGTTCAATGATTTGAAAGTTACAGATCCCCAGGAAGCAGCATGCGCTAGCCCTTCGGTTTCTAATCCCAAAGATCACCATTCCCAGAGCAAGCTGCTCGAGGATGTTGAGACGCATCCCCAGGAGGACCAGGAAGAAGAGGAGTGCTTTCATGACACCAACACCTCATTTGAGGAGGAGCCAGGAGTGGACAAGGTTGAGAACAAACCTGATGATGTGAATGCCTCTGAACTAGATGAAGAATACTTAATAGAACTGGAGAAAAACATGCCAGATGAAGAGAAACAGGTAAATATTTTATTTATTGTGCCTGGTCTGCCACATAAACTGCTTTTTAAAGTAAACAAATGTGGCTGATACTGTATCAGACCACGTCATTTGTGGTGAAGAGTAACTTGCCCACCTGTGTCCTTATTGCTTTAACACTGATGAATCTGAGATAAATCAATAACATGACAGGGAAGCATTGAGGGTGTCTGCTTAGCAAAGAAATTTCTAGTTCTGTGAACTTTGAGTTCTTCTGTTCATTTTGTGTAATTATTTTCTGACATGTATATGTAACTGTTAGCTTTTTTTATGACTTTATCTATGGTTGTCTGCTGAAATTCCTGTAATGGACATTTTTTGTCAGACTTGAGAATTATAGTATGCTGCCTGTTTGTGTTAATCCCTTGTTAGCAAAAAATGACTGCCTGAATATCCTGGTGGTGGTTTGGTTACGGAGGGCAGTGCCTGGGGCCTGTATCATTTACATACTGTTCTCCAGGAACAGAATTGTGTATGATTGTAGCTCTCCTTTGTTAAGCACCTATAATGTGCCAGCCACTGAGCTTAGAATGTTACTTGTTTTCATTTAATCTTCACAACACACCTATGAGACAAACTGTTAGCCTTCTCCATAAGAGCACAGGGGTTAGGGTGGTAAAGTAACTTGCCCAAGATCAAACACCTACTAAATGGCAGAACTGATTCTCAAATCCAGATCTGTTTGATTCCAAAGCCAAAGTATAATAAAGAAGTTAATAAACAAAAACAGCTGTCTTCCTACAAAGCAGATACACTAATGAAATGTACACTTTCCTGCTGCTTTGCCCCTGGGCCACATCCTTAACTGGGCAAGCCTTCACTTTTGGAGACAGGAGTCTTGGTGTACTCCACATATCCTTCTTTCTGATCTCATAAGTAATGTTATCTGAAGAGCTACCGTAATATCTGAGTTTGCGAAGAACTTGAATGAGATTTGTAGCTTATGCCTCTGATCTGAGATCTCTGTTCTGCCTCACTGAACCGGTTATGATAGATTGGTAACGGGCTGAGATAATACATGTGCAGTGTAACAGTGGGCATGGGGAGGTGGCGTGAGGTAGGGAGGAGCATCTTCTGTTTGTCTCTCCGTAGGCACTTTTCATTATCAAATCTCTTGGTTTTAACTTGCATGAGCTAGCTTTTGTGCTAGTGTGTGCTGCCAGAAGAGGAGGATAAAGGGCAAAAATGAGCCAAGTTCATAAACTACCTCAGCAGAAATGGCTCAGAAAATTACATCAAGTACTATTCGATAACATTAGGGAAATGATTTTCCAGAAAGTGAGTGAGTGGTTCATCTTTCATATCACTGATACAGGCTTTTTAGAAACATTGATTAAACATCTGTGTTAAAATGTTAGCAATGCTTTACTGATACCTTAACGTATTTTGCTCTGATATCATAGTGCATTTTCTACAGTGCCATCAGTTTGACAGTTGAGTGGTTTGGCTCAAAGTGTTACGTACTCTGCTCCCCATTCCCAATTTAGTAAAATTTATTTTGTGTGTCCTTGCTGGGAAATCATATTTTAAGTTCTATAAATATTTAAAATAATTATTTTTATTGCCTGTAAATTGAACATTCGAAAATAGCACAATACTTTTTAAACTTTTTTCCTTCCTTTTAAAAATTGAGATATAATTTACATATAGTGAAACTGTTTAAGTTCTAATGTGTACAGTTCAATGAGTTTCAACAACTGTATACATCTGTGTAACTCACACCCCTATCAAGGTGCAGAACATTTCCATCATGCCAGAAACTCTCCTTGTGATTCACCACTCATTCCTTCTCCACCCCCACTCACCCAGGGAACCACTCGTCTGATTCCTGTCCCATAGGTTGTTTTTTTCCTGTTCCAGACTTTCATATAAATATAATCGCTTTTATTTATTTATTTTTTTGTGAGGACGATCAGCCCTGAGCTAACATCCGTGCTAATCCTCCTCTTTTTGCTGAGGAAGACCGGCTCTGAGCTAATGTCTATTGCCAATCCTTCTCCTTTTTTTTCCCCAAAGCCCCAGTAGATAGTTGTATGTCATAGTTGCACATTTTTCTAGTTGCTGTATGTGGGACGCGGCCTCAGCATGGCCGCAGAAGCGGTGCGTCGGTGCCCGTCTGGGATCTGAACCCGGGCTGCCAGTAGCGGAGCGTGCGCACTTAACCACTAAGCCATGGGGCCGGCCCAAATAATCGCTTTTAAAATATAAACATTTTCTATTAGTTTGTATTTTGTGTATCAACTATGTGTTTTCGTAGCTTAATTTGAAAATTTATAGCAATATCTCATAGAAATAACATGCTGCAGTAGTAGCCATTGTTGCTTTATAGAAATGTAAACCATTAACTGGACCGGAAGGAAACAACCTATGAGAGTGCAGCCTGCCTTTAGCTAATTGTGGTACTACCCTATTAGCTATTTTTATGCTGTTTTGATAAATATCTTTGTGAAATTATTAGGAAACCAGCAAAACAGATGAAGAAATGTCTCTTCGCTGCACATATTGTTTGGTTTTATATGTCATTGGGAACAGGATATCTTTAAATTTGATTCTTTTAAAATAGAGAAAGTTCAGATAATTCAACAACAGAAAAAATAAACACAAATGGCCAAAAAATGTGGCCTCACTGATAATTATTAAATGCAAATTAAAACATTGTCTCATCTGTCAGATCAGAACATTGATCTGATGTTGGCAAGAAGAGGACATAGGAACTGATGTACTAATATTGGGAATTTAAATTGCCACGTCATGTCTATGGGATACAGGTATCAAATTTTTATATAAACATTTCTTTAGACTAGGGCTATCCATAGAACCTTCTGCAAAGAGGGAATGTTCTGTATCTGCACTGTCCAGTACGATCGCCACTGGCCATCACTACCACATTATAACAGTCATCTGGCAATTGAACGTTTGAAATGTGGCTGGTGCAGCTGAGGAACTGAATTTTTTTAATTTTTAATTTTAGTTAATTTAAATAGTCACGTGTGGCTAGGACTACCATATTGGACAGCACAGCTTTAAACCTCTGATACTCTTCCAGTCCTTTATTTTAAGGAAGTTATCAAGACGTGAACAGATGTATATATAAAGATGTGTTGCAGCATCATTCATAGTTTTGGAAAACTAGAAATAATGTTGAACGGAGGGTATTATTTTAAACATTTTTGGCATATTTATACAGTAGTGTACAGTGCAGTAATTAAAAAGAAAGAGGTAAATTTTAGTACTGACATGGAAAAATGCCTGTAATGTAATGTTAAATGAATTAAGCAGGTGTGATAATATGATTTGTAATAAGAAATATATATTTGGTGTTTGTCAAGTTCCTGGCACAGAGTTCCTAAAACGCTTGGAATTTCCTAAGTGATGGGAGACAAAGGTGTGTTTTGTTATTCATGAGAAGCCCTTTGCAGCCACACCTGAGTTAATGTTAATGTTAATGAGGTGACTTGTGGAAAGCCCCTAAGGGTGAGACCTAGTTGTCAGAGTTTGGAGCTTTCAGCCCCACCCCACCTCCACCATCTAGAAGATGTACGACAATGGCATACAACTCTCTACTGGGGCTTTAGGGAGAAAAAAGGACGAAGATTGGCAACAGATGTTAGCTCAGGGCCACTCTTCCTCAAAAAAAAAAAAAAACAAAGATGCTTATAGTATTGGGACCTTTAGAATATACTGCATTGTAGTGGTATTGATCCTGTAAGAGAATCACGTTTTACGGGCTACTTGTCACAAAGGAATTTTTGGTCCTCATGTATAAATTCCCTGGGTAATTCTTACGCACACGGTAAAGCTTGAGGACCACTGGCATGGGGCCTTGCACGTAGCCTTCCTTCATTCGATAGATGTTAGATGAAGACTATGGTTCTCTCTCTCCTGAGGGCCAGTAATTGGTCTTACAAGTTACAGAGATTTTTATCTCATTCATTTATTCAAGAAATATTTGCTTTTCTTCCACATGACAGGCATTGTTTCAGGCCCTTAGGGATACAGTAGTTAACAAGACAGAGGTTTCTCTTCTCTCATAGATATATTATAGTTGGGAGGTATGAAAAAAATGCTAAGAGGAAGTGATGAAGGGATGGGGTTTGGAAGGATGACTAGGGAGGTGGCATTTCAGCAAAGACTTGGAGGGAAAAAGGAGTCAAATGTGTGCCAATCTGAGAGGTTAACGTTGCAGACAAGGGGAGCAGTTAGTATAGAGGCCCTAAGGTAGCTGCAAGCTTGGTGTACTCTTGGTGTGCAAGGAATGGAAGGGCCAGTAGCTGGAGCATAGTGATTGAGGAAGAGAGTGGGGTGATGAAGTAAGTGAGGGTCCGATCATGGAACACTTTGTGAGCCAGGGTAAGAAATTTGAAGTTTATTCCAAGTGCAGTGGGCAACAGATGGGTAATTTAAGCCAGAGGAGAGATGGAAATTATTTATATTTTATTAAAGAGTATTCTGGTGGTCGTGCAGAGAATGAAAGGGGCAAGGGGCACGAGTGGAACATTGAGACCAATTAGAGCCTAATGCAGTAACCTGGGCAAAGATGATAGTAGCTTGAACTGGATCAAGTGAAGAGAAGTGAATGATTTCAAGATACATTTGGAGGTAGAGTTGACAGAACGAACTGGTGGGTTCACTTGGGAGGCTGGAGTGAGAAATGAGCATGATTCCTTGGCTTCAGCTACTGGGTGGATGGTGATGCCCTTTACAGATATGGAGAGGATGGAGGAACTTTGAGTTTGTCAGGGGTCTGGTGATTTAATTCTTTCCGGCAAATGAAAAGGTTTTTTTATTTGTAAGCCAAAATGCAAATTTAGTCTTTTTAATGGGTTTGCCAGATATTCGTTTACAAATAGATACATTTAAATAAGGGATGCAAAAGTCTTGTGCTTGGTGAACAGGGACTCAGAGCACATGGTTTCTGGGATTTTTAAAACATTTTTCTTAGGCTCTGAAAATGTAAAGATTGTTCTTCCCTTTAAGGCTGT